AATTCTATCAAAAGTCTGCTATTTTAAACTGTGGGAAGTGACATTTGGCCAGTGTTTCTTAACTCTCATGAACATAACGCCTTTAATCTTTTCCTATGCAGGACACATCTACACATTTTGACAAATTTGTGATCAGCAGGATTTGCTGTTGTCATTTGTTATCTCGAACCCCTGTTTGCATGTGTTTACAGAGCCCACCTGAGAATCTTTTCATGACTGTACGACAACACATCCTAGCTGGCTTCCTAGACTCCTTCCCTATTTGGGGGCATTTCTAATCCCCCGCTATTACCGCGATGTTGGGAACATCACTATGCACATTGCTGACTTTCCCCCTTTCATGTTACTTCTGGGGTGCATTCCCCCAAAGAGGTAAGGCACAGGTCCTGACTTCCGGGATCTTCCATGAGAGGGTGGGAGGCAAAGGCAGCAATGTACAGGGTCATACAGTTGAGCAGGTGTTGGACAGAGGTGGGCTGATGAGTGGGACATCCTGTCTGCCCCTCTGGGTGTACTGCTCTCCCCCTCCTCCCTGCTCTGAGCTCCAGGTTTTATAAATTATATCCAGGGGTTCCCTTGCTTCTGGCTTCCACAGGGCTGACCTGCAGGAGGCTCCGTTAGGAGATGGGAAAATGGACAGAGGCAGATGAACACCTTCTCTTCCACACCACGGTGTCAGTGTATGTGTTCTCCTACAAGCTGCTGTCAGGAGTCTACTCTGGACCCCAGAACCCTTCCTGGCCCTGCCCCTCCAGGCTTAGAGCTGCCCGTGATCTCCCAGCTGCTAGACCAGGGTGCTCTGCCTTCCCCCACTCGTTTTCCATAACCCAGCCTATACCTTTGCAAATGGTCTGTCATTAAGTTCTCCTCAGTGACCTATTTAGACCTATTGTGCCTTCTGTTAGCTGCCAGGAGCCTGAGTTAATAGGCCAGAATACTATGCAACTACTGCAGGCTGGAGCATGGCAGTCTTGCCAGAGCGTCTACTAAGCTGGAACCTAAAAGGCAAGTTAGCTGGGCAGAGAGGGTAAGGGAAGGAGGAAACATCAAGCACACAGCAGGGAGGGTGAGAAGGAGAATCATTGCACTCAAGGTCCTCCTAGAGACTCAGGGTGGCCGAGGCCCGGAAAGACACACGACTGGAGAGAAAGGAGAGCGGTGGTCTCAGACGCGTCTGCAAATTAGGCCATGTCCACAAGAGAAATTTCATGGAGCCATTAAAATCTATGTTCATAAAGACTTTGTAATGACTTTCTACATTCGTTCAACAAATAAGCTCTTTGTGTGTATCAGGCATTGTGCTGGGCACTGAAGATAGAGTGAGAATGCAGACAAAATCCCTGATCACATACTTTAATGATACCACCAGGTATAACAACAAGGAAGAAGGCAAAATAATTGCTTATCTATATAGATTCTATACGATCTCAAGTCATAGAAAAATAGGAAACTGGAAGAAAATACACTGAAAAGTCAATTGAGGTTATCTTTAAGAGATGAAATTATTAGTCACTCATCTTTTTTTCCTTAGGTTTTTATTTTCCAAATCATATTTTTATCAATATTTTGTTTTTTTAAACAGGATTATTGTAAAATATTTGGTTTAAGATAATTCTTCCTTCATAAAGAATGAAAGCCCCCGATAACAATTGGAAAATACTCTTGTCTACCTTGTTCAATATTTTACCCTCAGCATTTTACTCCCAAGATGCCTATCAAACTCTGTTTTTAGGACAACCAGAAGACGAGGAAGCAAGCTCTCAGGTTAAACTTAAAGACCAAGAGCCCTAAACCCTGGGATTACATTGGACCACCCACATCTGCTTCTCAAGTTCCACTTCCTACCACCTCATTCGCTTGGGTTGGCCCATGACCTCAGCTTCAGTTCACAGTCAGACACTGGTATCCGCCCCACAGGTTTCTTAAGTTTTCTGCCCAAAGCTTGGTGAGGGATCTTACTGGATTCCACCCTCAACCACACCCTTGCCTCTTGGGCTCATGTTGACATTGTGATTGATGGCAGCTGGCAGTCAGCACTCCTCACCCTGTCCTTGCTTACTGATTGTACTTGAGTGCTCCCCCAGCTCCTTCAGAAGTGACACACCTCCACCCCTTTTTGTAAGGCCCTGGTTTCTGTCCTGCTGTGCTGTGCTCCATGGTGTGCAAATGACTTCTCTAAGCTGACACTTCAGGGCCTCCAGAGGATTCAACAGGTTACCCAAGTTTGACATCCTTTACTAACTGTGGAATTCTCATTACCAGTTGATAACAATTTTTAAAGTGCGATCCTTTGGGAGAGGTATATATAGAAAGGGGGAAATAATGTTGAAGAAAACATATGTATGATGTCTATACACCTATAAAACAAAAAGATTCTATTTTTAAAACCTATTCTAAGTATTAAGAGATTTTTATGTAGTAGCTACATATAGTAAGTGTATAAAATTCAAAAGCTTTTGTTTATGAAGGCAAAAACCAGTTTAAAAAGAAAATGGAGTTGCAGGAAACAAGGTGAATATACAAAAGTCAATCACTTGCCTATACATCAGAAATGAACAAGTGGAATTTGAAATAAAAAACACAATACCATTTACATTAGTGCCCCCCAAAATGAAATACTTAGGTATAAAGCTAACAAAATATATACAAGATCTGTATGAGGAAAACTATAAAACTCTGATGAACAAAATCAAAAAATGAAATAAATGGAAAGATATTCTATGTTCATGGATAGGAAGACTCAATATCACCAAGGTGTCAATTCTTCTCAACTTAATCTATAAAATTCAATACAATACAAATCAAAATCCTAGCAAGTTATTTTGTGGGTATCAACAAACTGATTTTAAAGTTTGCATGGAGAGGCAAAAGACCCAAATAACCAACATAGTACTGAAGGAGAAGAAAAAAGTAAGAAGACTGACTCTACTTGTTTCAAGACTTACTATAAAACTACAGCAATCAAGACAGTGTGGTATTGGTGAAAAAAAAAAAGACAAATAGATCAGTGGGACAGAATAGAGAGCCCAGAAATAGACCCACGTAAGTATACTCAACTGATCTTTGGCCAAGGAGCAAAGGCAATACATGGAACAAAGATAGTCTTCTCCACAAGTGGTGTTGGAACACCTGGACATCACATGCAGAAAATGAATCTGAACACAGACCTTACACTGTTCATAAAAATTAACTCAAAATGAATCCCAAACACAAATCAAAAATGCAAAACATTACAGCTCTCAAAGATAATATGAGAGAAAACCTAGATGACCTGGGGTATGGCAATGACTCTATATATAAAACCCCAAAGGAACAATCTATGAAAGAAAGAATTGATACACTGGACTTTATTAAAATTAAAATTTTCTGCTCTGCAAAAGACAATGTCAAGAGAACGAGAATACAAACCACAAAATGGGAGAAAATATTTGCAAAACACACATATCTGATAAAGGACTATTATCCAAGATATACAAAGAACTCTTAAAACTCAATAAAAAAACAAAGAGCACAGCTTAAAAATTGGCTTAACAAACACTTCACCCAAGAAGATATATAGATGGCAAATAAGTATGTGAAAACATCCTCTACATCATATGTCATCAGGGAAATGCAAACTAAAACAATGAGATGCCACTACACATCAGCTAGAACTGTCACATTCTGGAATACTGATAATACCAAATGCTGATGAGGATGTGGAGCAAAAGAGCCCTCATTCATTGCTGGTGGAATGCAAAATAATACAGCTACTTTGAGAGACAGTTTGGTGGTTTCCTTAAAAAACTAAACGTACTCTTACCATATGATCCTGCAGTCATGATCCTTAATACTTGCCCAAAAGAGTTGAAAACTTATGCCCACACAAAAACCTACCCATGGACATTTACAGCAGCTTTATTCATAAGTGCCAAAGCTTGGAAGCAACCAAGATATCCTTCAGTAGGAGAATGGATAAATAAACTGCAGTACATGCAGACAAGTGAATCTTTTTCAGTGCTAAAAAAAATGAGCCATCAAGCTACGAAAAGATCTGGAGGAACCTTAAAAGCATATTCCTAAGTGAAACAAACTAATCTGAAAAGGCTGTGCACTACATAATTCCAACTATATGACATTCTGAGAAAGGCAGAACTATAAAGACAGTAAAAGGTCGGTGGTTGCCGGGTTAGGAAGGAATAGATAGGCAGAGCTCAGAAGATGTTTAAGGCACCAAAAATACTCTGAATTTTTATACATTATATATAGATATGTATAATGTGTACATTATACACCTATAATGATAGATATGCATCATTATACTTTTGTCCAAACCTACAGAACGTACACCACCAAGAGTGAATTTTAATGTAAAGTATGGACTTTGGGTGACAGTGTTATGTCAGTGTACGTTCATCAATGGTAACGAATGCCCGCCCCACTCTGATGGGAGATGTTGATAGTGGGGAGTCTGTGCATGTGGGGGGGCAGCGACTATATGGGAACTTTCAGTACCAAACACAAATTTTGCTGTGAAGCCAAAACTGCTCTAAAAAAAACAAATCTTAATAATAAAACAAGGAAATGGGAAAATAATCTTATTCATAATAGAGGAGAAAACAACTTATCTTTGAATAAATGTAACAAGAAACATATAAAACTTAAACTAAGCAAGCTATACAATTTTATCAGAAGACATAAAACAAAATGATCCCTAGATGGGAAAACAATGATACATATATCTTCCAAAATTATTATAATAATTTATTAAGAATTCCAATCAGAACACCAAGAAAATGTTTCCACGCTAAAGATAATCGGAGCATTTCCATAGAAGAAGAAATGCACAAAATTGCCAAAAAAAAGTTTTAAAATAAAAATGGGAAGGTGGTTTGTCCTTCCATGTATTAAAATTATTAAAAGCCACTACAAACTCTGTAAAGTTGACACAGGAACAGACACACAGACCACTGAAAGAGAAGAGAGAGGCCAGAAGCAGGTCAGGGTATAAGGGAACTCACCACATGATCAAGGAAGGTCATCAATTCAAAGGGCAGAAGGGTATTCCATAAACAATGTCGGCATCCTGGAAGGCATTTGGAAAATAATTTAATTAGATGCCCTTTTCTCCATATCATATTTAAAAATAAATTCCAAGAGAGATTAAGAAGCAATAAAAGCTTTAGAATGAAATACTGGGGGGAAAAAATTTGCTTGAAATAGAAAAGGTCTTCAGCAAAATAAGAATCAGAAGTCAAAAGGAAAGGCGGAGGGATCTGACTACAAGGAAATTTTGCGAAGACATCATGGTTTCTATGTGATGAAAGACGCCATGAAGTCAAAAGATCAACAATAGACTGGAAGAGAATACTGTGTCACTGTAACAGCCTTAGAGTTAATATCCATGATATTTTTAACCATATAAATGATGAAAAAAGAAACATACGAGAAAAACATAGAGATAAGCAATTCATGTGAGAGAATATGAAAATAACCAATAAATTATTTAAAGAATGGTCAGTCTCACTAATAATCAGATAATTAGAAATCGAAAAAAATAATGAGGTATCTCTAACAAAAAGCTGAAACACTGACATCATCAGTCTTTGTGAGAATGTGAAGAAAGGGACTCGCATACATGGCTGGTGGTGGTGTGTATCACTACATTTTTCAAACAGTTTTATTTGTTAAAGTTTAAAGTGTTATTTGTTTTATTTGTTAAAGTTAAAATTAGGCATACCCAGCAATCTCACTTCAAGTATTTATTCCACAGAAATAAAAACTTCAGTACTTGTGGACACAGGATTTTGGCTGCAGTATTGTTTATAATAGTAAAAAACTAGAAACAATTGGACAGTCTATCCACAGGATTGAATACGTTACAGCGAATTTTTATATTTAATATTATGCAATTCTTAAATGATTTTAAGTCTCAGTATATTGATCTGGGAAGATATTTCCATGACATATTGTCAAGTAAAAGACAAATTGCAAAATAGTAGGTAAACTATGACCCCATTTCTCTAATATAAAGCTATCTGACATATGATTTGCATTTCTATACAATAGGAAATCAAAAGGATTCACATCCAATCCCATGATGATGGGGGAGAAACCAGAAGGAAGGAAGACAAGTTGTTTTCTTTATGCTGCTCTGGATTGTTTAAAATGGTCTTTATCAACAAGTGGTCCTTTTTTTTTTTAATCATAAAAGGCTTAAAGAGTTATGTACCAGGTAGAAAGAAGACCATGTAGTTTTTATATCCATGGCGGCAGGCAGAGGGAAGATGCCCGCTGGGTGACTGCAAGGCTTTTGATTGAGAGGACGTCTGAAGCTGGCTGTCCTGCTTGGTGTCATTGGTGCCCTGTGATGTCATGCAGCCCCAGGCCACCAGGCCACCAGGCCACCAGTCCTAAATGCACCACCACCACTTCCCCACATCTGCAGGGTCAGTAGTGAGCCCCGCCCGAGACGAGCACTGGAGACCCTGTTCTCCACACCAAGGTCACCGTCCTCACTCACAATGTCACACTGTGAGTCCCGTGCCTTTGGCCTCCAGGTCTATCTTTCTCTTAACTCTTTAAAGAAAACTTAAATCTCAGGCTCTTGTAAATTACCCTAATAAACTCAAACTCAGGTTACTTAGTTCCTTTCAAGAAATAATATGTTGAGACGCGCTGACATTTTGCTTATTCAAATCTGTGCGTTGGTTCATGGCCTTCCGCTTATCTTTGACTCCTGTTTCCGAGGAGCTGCGTGTTAACCTGCTACAGACTTGGCTACTCATCAACAAAAGAGGGAGGTCGGGACTCACAACTCACTATTAAAAATTAAAAAAAAATTTTTTTTTGGTGTTACGATTCACCTCATCCATTTGATTATTCATTTGTTGCAATTAAACTGAAGGGAAATTTGAGACTCACACAAAGAGAGGAGCCTTTTATGGAGACTTGCATCTGGGGAGCAGATTTATGAGGCCTTTTGAGACCCAGAATAGCTTTACTGTGATGAAGCCCAAAGCAGGAGTGCCCCTCCCCCACCCACCAGCCGGAGCGTCAGGGCCGGGTGGGGGCGGGGCGGTGGAACCGAAATGCAGAAGGAGACGCAGATGGAGGGGTTCAGGAGTCATCGCGGGTGAGACCCGAATCAAGCCAAACTTTTTAGAGTGCGGTAAATGGAGCTGAGCTACTCTGTAAGTGCTGATTTAAAAAAAAAAAAATTTTTAAGACTTCTCAACCAGGCGGCCACTCAGGGCTTTGGAAGCTCGATTTGAAATACAGGGAAGGAAGTGACAGAGAGTGATGTAGCAGGGCAGCTGCCAGTCCCAAGTGAACATGTGCAGAATGTCAGGAGGGAGCGGAAGAGACAGGAGTCCCAGCTTCGTGCCCGAGGGGGTCACTCTGCCCTCCTCCACAGCCTCCCCTACAAACCACATGTTGGTGACTAAACAGAAAGATTAACTGCTCAGTGTGCCCAGAAGTAGAATGAAAAGTGGACAATTTAATAGTGAGATTCAAAGCAGGAAGCAAGGTAGCTTTCCCCCCAAGTTTATGGTCAGAAACATTTTTCCAATAATTTTTTGCTTGCCTTTACCTACAGTATTGAAAAAGGACCCGGATGTGCTACTCTGGGAGATTGGAGAGAGTATTCACTCTCAGTGAGAAAGATGATGCAGGATACAAAAATAAGCAGAAAAGATTTAAAGCAGGAGCTTCAACAGATGCTTGCACACCCATACCCATAGCAGCACTATTCAAGATGATGCAGGATACAAAAATAAGCAGAAAAGATTTAAAGCAGGAGCTTCAACAGATGCTTGCACACCCATACCCATAGCAGCACTATTCACAGTAGCCCAAGGTGGAAACAGCCTGAGGGTCCATCAACTGACGAGTCCATCAACACAAAGTGGTGCATCTATACAATGAATATGATTCAGCCTAAAAAAGGAAGGAAATTCTGACATAGGCTATGACATGGATGAATCTTGAGGACACTATGCTCAGTGAAATAAGTCAGTCACAAAAGGACAAACACAGGATGAGTCCACTGATATGAGGTTCCTAGAATAGTCAGATTGACAGAGACAAGAAAGTAGGATGGGGGTTACTAGGGGCTGGGGAAGGGGGGGTGGGTAGTTAGTGTTTAATGGGTCCAGAGTGTCAGTTTGGGAAGATGAAACAGTTCTGGAGTTGGATGGGGGTGATGGTTGCATAACAATGTAATGTACTTAATGCCGCTGAACTGTACACTTTAAAAAATGATTTAAATGATAACTTTATTTTATGTGTATTTTAGCACAATAAAAAAATAAGCAGACAAGACTGCATTTTTCATGAATTCAACAAGGACCACTTGAGCCTCTATTCCATGCTAAGAAACAGGATTAATGATCCAACTCAGATTAGACTCACATGCTGCCAAACATCTCAATGAAAATGAAAGAAAGTTAAGTACATTCAATTATTTAAATATTTCCATCCTGGAGTGTGGAGTCCTGAAGACAGATGATATATTCTTAAAACCTGATTTGCTCCTGTACTAATTTAATTTCCCAACTCTCATCATTTTTGTCTATGGCCAAAAATGTTTGCAGATAATCAACTCAAATGTTTTCAGGGTAGCAAACTCATTCTGTACTGAATGTAAGCTTGACCCCAAGCACCTTCAGAAGGCACAGAATTATGGCTCCTTCGCACCTTCATACTCCAGTCTGAGGGAACGAGCCAGGTACACAAGGTCCTTTCAGGTGCGAGAGAAGAACACAAAATACTGAGAAGACTCATGGGGGTGACATGCCAGTCGACAGTAAAGTTAAAAATAAATCTGGTTCTCTTTCAGCTTCAGTTCATGAAGCAGTGTCTGGTGGTGTGGGGTAGTGGGAAGAGTGAGACGGACGTGCGTTTTCACCTTAACTCCACCATGGAATTGATTATGTGCTTGTGGACAAGAGCAAACTTCTGAACCTTGTAACCTCAGACTTTCAGGGGCTGGAGGGAATAATTGTAATTTCATAGACAGAGTTCTCCACAAGGAGGGGCACAGGGGAGGGAGGCTGCCCTCCTCCCCTCACCCTCTGTAAGGTCCTACTGGGGGTGGACATGATGACTATATGTTTAAATCATCTCTAGTAATTATAACACTCTGCATTCAACAGAAGGTCATTACCATTGTAGTTTTGGGGTGCTTTAATGAGGAAAAATGTTGAACTCGTCTGGCAAAGTACCTAATAAGCAGTCAGTATTAGTAATATTAGCCTCCTTCAGGCCTCTAACAAAATGCTTTTGAATAAAGTCACTTGTGGTCAAGGTCTACAGTTGCATCCCTTCAAATCTTTCCCTTCGAAAATCCTACATAGAACGCACATACAACATGGGGCTCAGCCTTCATCACGCACATGGATTCACTCGCAGGTGGTATTTCTTGAGTATCTACATGCAAGTGAGGTGGGTCTGGCAGCCTGCTGTTGGCTGCTGTGGCCATGGAAACCAGACCAGGCCCCAAGGACTTGTTTTACAAGGAGGTCGCCCTTGTATGCAGATGCCGCCCAGCCCCCAACCAAGCAGGCAGATGACTACTTACTTGCTGAAGGCTGAACTGACCACAGATCTTGGGGCAGGAAGGCCCTGGGAGGCTGTCCACTGACTCTCTTGCAGGCATGACTCACACTTCCTTTGCACTCTTGGGTGGCTCACAAGTAAGCCAAACTGGGAAAGGTAGCCCCAGTAACTTCGGCAAAGTCAGAGAAGTCTTTCCTGCCTGCCTTTGAATCCAGAACTGAGCTCAGGCCCGATGCAGAGTAGCAGCACAAAGAACCTGGGGAGGTGACTTGACGTAATGGTGACAAGCACAAGCACAATGTCACAAGACATGAATTTAAATATTGGCTGCATCGCTTAACAGTGCAGTGACCTCTGTGAAGAACTTAACCTCTCTGGGTCTCCATTTCCTCATCCCTAAAAGAGGAGAAAAAAGGAGGGAGTCCTGTGAAGATTAACTGGAACAATGCACATAGCACAAGGCTCTGCATATAGTAATTGCTCAATAAATAATCCCAAATAACATCACATAGGAGTAAGGCTCAG